TGTAACTGAAAACTTATCTGGCATAAATATTTGAGTATATTTATAGTTAGTTCGACAAATTATTATGACTGCACAACAGTACCTAAAGTTTCATCAAATAATTAGATCATAAGTTTCTTTTGTTTTCTTTTTCTGTTTTCGCATTGCGCAAATGTAGATGTTAAGGCGACATTTTAGTGAATAATAAATGCTATGATTTAATAAAATCTCTTATATTTTATTGATTTTTAAAGTATAATTCTTATATTTTATTAGAAATTCAGGAATATTATATTTAAAGAAGCATGGTGGATTTTGCAATATCAATTGCATTTTTATTGGGAGAAAGGAATGAATTATTTATTTTTGCCAAGAAAGAGAGCTGCTTAAACTTTTTTTAGGGGACATACGAATATTAGATAAATATAAAGTTTTTCATGAAACTTTGAATATCATGCATCATTTGTGGAAATAATTTATTTAAATATAGTATTTTTGAAAAAATCTGAACTTGTTGCTAGGTAATTTTTGGAGAACGAATGGGCCAATAAATTCTAAATTATTTTCTTTTAATTTAAATTATTTATTATTAAATCAAATTTGATCTAAACATAGAAATTAATAAGCATTTTGCTAGTATTAACAGTTTCTTAATATGAACAATTTGCGAGCATAAACTGTTTTACAAAATATTAACAATTTTTTAGAACATCGAGTTTCAGAAGTAAGGAATTCAACAATTGTATAGAATTAATTGTATTGTAAATAAATAAAATAATGTAATGTATTAAAGTTATTACTTTCACTTTAATTTATGCATTTGTAAGTAATAGTTTTAAGTACTTATATTATCTGCTAAAACAAGTCCCTCAGAAACTATTGTCTTCTCAATTTTTTTTGCTTATCAGATCAAATTTTTTGTCACTGATTTATTCTGAAATACATCAAATTTTACAATTATGCATCAATTCACCTAAACTATAAATCTTAATGTAAAATTATGAGCCATAATCTTCAAAGAAAATCCCCTCAGATATAAACACGAAACTTTTCTAGAAGTTATTCCTAGCCTTGCAAACACTTGCAAACTTCAACGAAACTGTTGGTAGATACAGTAGATTTGAATAGTTGACGCTCTATGGTTTATAATTTAGGATCCAATACATGTTTTTGCTTATTTATGCACAATTACATCATGAACTATGATTATAGATATTGCATGAAGGAATGATATACTTCTCTGTGTGTAATTAGTTTTAAATTTGCTTTTTTTATTGCTTCATTTTAATATAAAATATTAAACAAAGAAAGGATTGTATAGATTTATGTTAATATTTCGAAATATTTTTATATTGCTCATTTATGTAAGAATATAAAAATTTCCTATAGTATTCGAATCATTTATCTTCGATTTCAGTTTTATTCCAGATAAAAATTGCTTCGGTTGTATTTTTATTTAAGACCAGATATTGCTTTCGGTCATATAATAAATTATATTATGAACAAGGGAAAAAATTTACAAGTTACATTAATAACACATTTTATAATTTTTTTTTTCAGTTTAAAAGGAATAATGATGCATGTCTTCTATATAAATATGTATTTTATTCATCATTGAAATAAACTTAAGAACAAGAAAAATAATGGAAAATAAAACATCTAATATAAATTGTAGTTTACTTTCCAAAATGTACTTCTGTCTTTGTTAGTACACGATATCCCCCAAAATTTAAAATCTCCCTATTTCATGGAGCTATAATAAAGTAATAACCAAACGAACATAAAAAATTCAATTTAAAATAATTAGAGAAAACGATTTATTCTAACATGGCGCTAAGACCGCTTAGGATAGAGTTACTCTTTTGTAACCCACTGAAAAGAGAAATAGTAAAAAAAAAAAAGAAAAAGAAAAAGAAAACATGTTGGCTATTTATATGCTCTAACATTGAGTGGAATTCTACAATAATTATAAAAGCATTATAAATTCAAATCGTTTTCTCATTATCAATTTTAATAAATTTTTAATCGAAGAGAATTAAAAAAATTTTTAAGAAAGTACTTTTTGCGAAATGATACAGATTATTTTTAAAATGCATTAACAATCCAATATAAACTTAATATCTTAAATAGGAAAATGCCAATTCAATTTCTTCGAAAAAATGATCTAAATAAAAATGGTAGATTTCAGGATAACTTCCCTTTCCTATCTAAATTTCTGTATTTTTTTTAAAATAAAACATAGCAAGATAATTTCAGGGCATTACTTGATAAAAAAACAGCTGTTATTTTCCAACTGTGCAAATTTTACAAAACGAATTATTACTTGAAAATTCCTTGTTGACAAACCAATGCGTAGAAAATCGTTTTGATAACAAGCGACTAATGCTAGAATGTCATGCTATATAACATTTATTTTCTTAATTCATTAAAAATTACTTTTTAAACTGATAATATTCGAACACAAAGTGAAACATTTCTTAATTATAATTAACACTAAAATTACAAAAATATTCCAGCGTACTATCAATTTTTTTTTCCTTTTTCGAGAAAATAATAATCCCACTAAATAAAGTAATTACAACTAATGAGGGACATATATAGTCGTTAAATCTGATTTAAAATGAATAATATTTGCTTAAAACTCACTGATAAATATTTTAATAAAATAAAAGAATATATTTAACGTAAGAAACTGCTGTAATCAAAATATATTTAAATTATATTAGTCGCTTTACAATTAAAGGAAATTGAAGAAACATAACAACGATATCCAATTATTGAGAAATAAATTAGATACGGGTATTAACATTTAATCTCTGAGCAATATTTGTTGCAAAATAACAAGCAAGTTTTTTTTTGTTTCGTTTCTCATTAATTCCTTTCTCTTAAAATACATTAAAAACTGATGCTTCTAAATCTTTTGCTTACACAAGTTTCTTAAACATAATCTCTTGAAGTAATTATCATATCTCCAAAATTTAAATTTATAAATTTGTTTTTAATCTCGAGAAAATAAATTTTAATAACAGAATGCAGACTGCAGATGTAATTTCTTGACAGCTTTTTAATATGTTTTAGTTTTTGAATTCATAAATTGGGAAAATATTGCAGAATTTTCTAAGAGAGTGTTTACCCGTATCTATTTGAGAATAATTTTTAAATTATGTTAATGATTGCTTTAGGGAACTCTTGAAAATTGAGAAGCAGAAAAGAAAACACTTCCAAAAACATGAAGGCCATTGATAATTGAAAATTAAAAAATATATATATAAAAAAAGAGTGTTTTTCTGAAAATTATAGATTTATTTTTAATGTAAGTGTTTATTTTATTTTATAACCGTCGTTGAGTAGTCGACCCAATTTTGGGTTTACAACTACTAACGTTCAACTCCATAGCCTTGTAATTTTGAACCCAATCCAGAAGGCAAGAGATCTCCTGCATCAAGTATGGGGAAAAATTCTGTTTTCGTGGAGGACTTTTTGATGCACCTAACCGACCTTGGCGTTACATGGAGAGGAAAATCACGAAAAAATTCCACTGTTAGCCTGACTACAAGGGGACTCTTATCCATGATCCATCTTCTACTGAGGATATTTTAAATCAGCAGTGTGGTCGGTGAGATCCGGACCGCATGTTGCATAGACATTATTAACCATTTCTTATAAGAGCATTTAAAATGGATGTAGAGTCGTTTCAAAGTGTACTGAATCCAGAACGGAAAACCGCGTAAAGTATGCATTTTAGAGGCAATATGTCGATAAAGCGGGCATTTTTATTCGAATTGTTCCGTTGAAGGTGACCATTGTCCAGGTCGAATAGCTATAAGCAAAAAATGTAAACATTTTCATGAATGGCGATGCCAAGTGCATCACAAGCAAATACTATGAGCTCAAATTTATCCAAATAATGAATATATATGATGAAATATACAAAATATAAATCATGGATATGTATAAAATTTATGAATAAATGAAGAAAGAGGTAACCAAATAGTTATCACTTGTGACACTTGTGCATTATCTTCACTGAAAATTTTTCAACTGCACGCTTTTCTGCTTTGGACCCATCACTCTTTACCAGGACTTTTATTTTAAATACTCTCATCTGAACCTATTATGCAGCTGTACACAGTCTACAGGACAATTTTCCTACCGTCCATTATAGCTCTAAATGATGCTGCTGCTGATTCTCCTGTATTTCTGACATAATCACACATATCTCCACATTTTATTTCGACAACTATTATAGCAATTTTTAGCTATTCTGAAAATCTATTAATTCTTATTTATCTGCTTCTGAAAAAGTAGCGTTATAAGAAGTACTAAAATGTGTGTGTTTTTTTTTAATGAATGAATGAAAGAATAAAATTTAAGAATAATTTTTAATACATATTTATAATAATTTCGAGATAATGTGGTGGTACCGCTTACAAAATTCAAACATTTATTTTTATTATGCAAATAAAGTAAATCAAAAATTAGAAAATTTGTGGGAAATTAGACTTACTCTTTGTGAAGGACTTATGATGGAACTAATCTACAGTTGTCTTTGAATGGAGAGGAAAACAACGAATATCTCTCTCTGAAAATCATAGTTAGCCTAACGGCAAAGGAGCTTTAAACCATGATCCGCCTACCACAGAAGATATTTGACTTTAGCACTGTGGTCAATGCGAGCTGGAAGCATAATTCATAGCGACAAGTCATCGCGGTGTTTTCGAACAAGGCACACCAACACGGGTAGCGAGTGCTCTATTCCCTGAGTCAGCACAGCTTGGACCAATATATGTGAAATATCTCCACGGATACAAATAATTGACTTAGTCTTAAGATAGTTGTGCTAACGTTAAAGTCAAGCACACCATTATAATGTTTTTTAAATCAATGCTCATTTCAAACAATAGCTAAACTGACCAAACGAGTTGAACGCTGTTCCAAAGTTATTTTTTTTAACATTTCTCGGCTTAAGACCGACAAGGTATAAATTTAAGGTATAAATTTTAAATACAAATATTACTCACAGTGAATATCCAAATATTTTGCTTCTGAATCTGAACTCCAGCCGGCAGTGTTAAGCCCCCTGCATGTATAATTGCCACTCTCGTCTCTTGTCAGATTCTTGAGTGTGAGTTCGTTCCTCTCTGTTTCTGCGTGGTCACCAAAAATGGGCAAGTCATTGTGATACCATCTGACAGCCATCAGCATAGCAGGATTGCCATCAATAGGATTGCACGACAAAACTGCCTCTGTCATCTCGGCTGCAACTTCTGGGACAACACTCACACTCACTGATGGTGGATCTATGGAAATCAATATAAATGCATCAGATACCAGATAAGGAAGTTATAGGGCATCTCATCCGCGAGTGTTATTGGGACGACACTCACACTCACGGATGGTGGATTTATGGTAATCGGTATAAATGCAGGAGTTACCACATAAGGAAGTTATAGGGCATTTCATCCATGAGAGTTATTGGGACGACACTCACACTCACGGATGGTGGGTCTATGGAAATCAATATAAATGCATCAGATACCAGATAAGGAAATTGTAGGGCATCGCATCATTGAGTGTTATTGGGACGACACTCACTCTTGCGGATGGTGGATCTATGGAAATCAATCTCCCAATGTGTTGATGTTTCTGTGAGATACCATATAATGAAGTTTTATCATCCAAGAGTGTAAGTGGGATGGTGCTCCTACATAAGAATGATTTTATAGAATGCGAGAGATGCCATATAATAAAGTCATAGATTGACCAAAATTATGTTTTGCTCTGAAGCAGAGTGATTCAGAAAAGTTGTTACGAGGTTGAAGGAGAAATTGGACGTAAAGATTGAGAGTTTTGTAGAAGTTCATGGCCAAAAATGGTATTGTACGCAGCTAGAAGAATTTTTCTATTATGATTTTCCTGTTAGTGCTGCTTTGAATTAGTAATTTTATTTAAACAAATTACATTTTTTATGCTTAATATTATGTTAACAAATACTGTCACAAATTGCCTTTAATTAACTAACAAAATAACTACATAAGTTATTTTGTTGTTACCCAATGATTTGGCAACTAACTTGAGTAGTGTATATTCAGATGGGCTCAGAAATAGTTTTATCGTTATTTAATGATTTAGTGACCAACTTGACAATTGTATTCAAAAAGGTTCAGAAATCGCTGTTTTGTAGTCATTCATATATTTAGTGATTAAAATTACTAACACTCCACGTCATTAGTTACGATAAATCAGCCATTTACGAGCCTATTTGAATACAGTTCCTTTCAACAACTATTAGAAAACAAAAAATAGCATAAAATTAGAATAATTTCTATAAACAGAAGTAGATTTAAGCCTCTCGAAGAGAATCAGGCACCCCTAAATGCGTACGATTACATCTCGAACGAGGAATAGGGTACCAAGTAAATACATTTTATTTGATTCACATATTGCACCCATTTTTTTAAAGGAATAATTGACAATTAAGCATGAAATAATTTAAGGTACCTATTTATGGTTCAACACTGCAGTGTTTTTTCACAGCAAGAAATTCAGAATAAGCATGAAATTAATAAACCACAATGGCCATACTATAGTTCAATTTGAACGGAAATATGATTCAATTTAGTAACTTATTAAGATTGGCATAAATTTGCCAGGTTTTATAATTCAGTTTTGCAACGATTCTTCTGTAAATGTAATCGAAAGTTAAGTGTGAAATCAATGAATCACGGTGACCAAAGATCATATGATAAGTAATATATTTTATTTTAGCAATTTTTTACTAAAATTATCACACAGTCACAAATTATTACAAATAAGTCCGAATTTTATCAAGCAAAAATAATTATACACCACAAATTAGGTTAAATGAGATGTTTACTTTGGATTAAGTGCAATACTTTAAAAGTTTTTTGATTCAATGAAATTTTCCTATTCACAATTTATGAACGTGTCAAATCTATTTTCTCGTGAGATAATTTTAAAATACATCATTCTAGTCTCACGAGTCTATTTCGTTTCGTTCGGAAATTTGGAGAAAACTTGACATTTTGAGTTTAGTATAACAACGGCACGTTTTCCAGCTCCTACCGCCAACCAAATTCGAAATTTAATCACCCACAACTGCAGTTAACTCGAATTTACTCGTTTGTTTTAGACTGACTTCTAAAGTGGTCGACAAATTTGTAGAATTTCATAAGTTCTGAGAACGAGAACGTACAACAACCGTGTTGTTTGTCGATGTTATTAGTAAAGTGTAGGCAATGAAAATTCGAGAAATGGTATACTCTGTGCAAAGAGCCATTAGGTAAATTGAAAGCAAGTTTCAAAATATTTTGTGAGTCAATTATATAAATGGAATTTTGTAAAACTGACTGTTTAATGAAGAAGGAACCGACTTTATTTAATAATAGTTGCATTTTTTATTTGTACAAATTAGCAATAGGTTTAACAAAGTTTGCAATTTTTATTTTTTTCTAGAAATGTTCATTAGAAATTCAAGAATGCATTTTAAATAATGGTTCTACTGATAATTTCCTTTCTTATACTTTGAACTAAAGCAAAATCATAACAATGTTTAAAAACCTAAACACAATCTGTAAATTTTGAATTAATAACTTTGTTTTATGTATAATGCCAATAACATGTTTTACAGGTCTTGTTAAAATATGCAACATAATTGCACAGACAGCAACTAACTACATCACCAAGAATAATATTTTTGAATTAACAAAAATTTGTATCCGTATACCCTTTAACAAATTCAGAAAAAAATATTGGCTTTGGTGCGAGTGTTTTGTTTCTGAGTAGATAGTTAACCTCGCAACTAAAGTTTCTTTTATAGGGTACTTTTCTTATCAGTGCTCTGGAATCAACTAAATCACTCTAAATTCTCTCACATTGCTTCTGTTTAAATAGTTAATCCTGAATTCAAAGTTTGCCGTATGCTGTAGTTTTCTTACCAGTACTTCGGAATCAGCCAAAGCACGCTAAATTTTTTCCCATTGATTCTGCTTAGATAGTTAACATCGAATCCAAAGTTTCCCGTATGCGGTAGTTTTCTTACCAGTACTTCGGAATCAACCAAAGCACGCTAAAATTTTTCACATTGGTTCTGTTTAGATAGTTAACATCGAATCCAAAGTTTCCCGTATGCGGTAGTTTTCTTACCAGTACTTCGGAATCAACCAAAGCACGCTAAATGTTTTCACATTGGTTCTGTTTAGATAGTTAACATCGAAACCAAAGTTTCCCGTAAACGGTACTTTTCTTACCAGTACTCCGGAATCAATCAAATCACACGAAATTCAAGTACTTACACAAGACGTCCAAGCCCAGAGTGTTACTGGAATTCCCTCTTCCGAAGGCATTCCTGACGTGGCATCCGTAGGAGCCAGCATCTTTCCTGGACACTCTCCTCAGTATCAATTGTGGACTCGGCACAAACGATGGGCTTCCACTTGAAGAGGCACTCGGTGATTTGGTAAGTTTTGGCGTGATCACAGGAAGTGGAATGTATTGTCGAAGCGGTAGACCGTCCTTGTACCAAATGACTTCAGTGACATTTGGGGGATTGGCGCTGAAATTGCAAGTCAAAACAGCTTCACCACTCTCGTTGACTATTAACCCTCCCACTGGTTGGACACTCACTGATGGTGGATCTGAAAAGAAAGAGAATTCATTTTGAAATGCGGCTTCTTGTTAGTCTAAATTATTCATTGAAAAGAATGTACCACAGTGATAAATAATATGACGGAATGAAACAGGGGGTAGGGCAAATAGATTTTCTGGATTCAATAACTCTTATCAGACAAAATTTTCCATCACAAACTTTCTCTTCAATCATTTGTGTTAATCGATATGTTGCATTAAACCTAACACTTTTGACTAGTTCTGTATCTTTAAGCAAGTAAAAAGAGTTTTATCTTCAATTTGACACATTTAGGAAACAGTTGCGTCCATAAAGATGAAAATTAAGCGANTTTTAAAATACTTGTAAAAAGTTATAATATGCATAATAATTTTATAAGTAAATAAAATTCAGTAAATTGCTTACTTTATTATGACACCTAATGGATTAACATACTTACAATGAAAAATTGCGTTACAATTTAATTAAATGTTATCTAACAAGCTATTTGAGTTTTTCATTCTCATATCACACTTTCAATTCCAAAAATATTTTAGCTTACCTTTGCAAGCATTAAATGGACCATTAAAATGTTAATATAATAATTAAAGAAATTCTGATCGTATTTCGCACATTAGCACACAAATTTCAATAAATTCTCCCACTACAAAAGTGGTTAGATCTTTACAATTAAACTAAGTTAACATGAGCTTCCGCTATAAATTAAAGGAAGAATGCGCACATAATTCCTTACAAGCAGTGATGGGCATCATTCACGGAAATTTTATTCTTGACAAAAATTTAGTCAGAATAAATTTATTCTGAATGATTATTCATATGTAAATTTAGTCATTATTCATCATTCATTATGTAAATTTTTGAATAATGATTGATGAATAAATTCATCAGTCATGACTAATTTTTCTGAATAAATTTTGAATAACCAGTAAAAAATGCAAGCACTATGCTATTTTCATAGCGAGTTGCAATATATACAATATATACAATATATTCAATATATATACATATATTCAATATATACATATATGTATATATATATATATTTATATATATATTGGCCGGCTCTTTCTACTAACTGTTGGTCAATTAGTCTTTATTTTATCAGTTTCAGCATGGAGACAGGGAAAAACACGTCCTGGGCCACTCGTCTTCTGATTATTAAACAAGCTGAGAAAAATTTCATATTTTGCTTGTGCCACCGAGTTTAGAATTCCAAGCTTTTGATGGTATAGTAAAGAAGTAGAAGGATGGAAGAAGTAGGCATGATCTTCTAAGATGAGGAGTCCCTTTAACCCGAAGAAATTCGGTAGCTGGCCTACTGAAATAAGAGCGCTAATAAAATATGCAAGTAGATGGTAGCCAAAAATGTGCTCAAATTGAGTAAACGCACCATAAGACGTCAACTGTATGCAGTTGGATTGTGTGCACAGATTCCTGAAAAAAATCTCCTTTCCTTTTAAAGAATAGGATGATCCGATTGAAATTTGAAATGAAGCGCGAATCATAGACAGCTAAAGATTGGAGGAATGTCCTTTGGAGAGATGAATCTAAATTGCTTTGAAGTGATAACCGGCGTTTTATTGTCACCTCGTCACCCAAGAGGCAACAGAATAGATCTCCGGTATCAACGGCTAACATTGAAACACGAAAAACAGATCAGTAATGGTCTGGGGAGCTTTCCATCATAATGATTTCGCCCTCTCGTTCATATCGATGGGACTACGGATCAATATTTTTTTAAAAACATTATAGAAGTAGACATTTAGAAGGATGAGTATTTTACGCTGTTTTTCACTTTAGGAGACATATTTATTCACGTTGTTGCAAACATTCTAAGAAATTATACTCTTACTTTTTGAGGTTGTTATTTGAGTCAGTAGTGTAGTTAGTATAAAAGAGTGTTGACTTTATAAAAGTAGAATAGAAAGTAAGTTCGATATTGAGCTATTAAAGAAACTATTTTATTTATGAAAAAATATTGCAGAATTTACATTAGTTTAGTAAGCTTCGAATCAAAGCTTGACTTTTAAATATAATTTATTTTACCCTGTTCTTTTTATATGACACTTTAGTTTTTATTATTAATATTACTTATTTCGATAACTTAAAGGGTAGTTTAATCATAAAAATTTCTTTTATTGTATATGATAAATATAAAAAATTACATTTCTTTATTAATTAAGTGTTTTAAATATCAATAAAAATATTCCAATTTAAACTAAATGATTTTTTAGTTATGTTCTAAATTAAATGAAACGTAATTTAATCTTTCAAACGCAACATTACAATTTCAATCAACTTTTAACTGCTTTTTGCGAAAAACCTACTGCAAATCTCAGATCTTTAACTTGCTTTAGACATTTTTATACAGAAAAAAAGAATAGCTACACATTCTATAAAAACAGACGATATTCATAAAACTGCCTTTTCTCGAACATGTTGTGCTTCGTCAATGAGTTTGGGTGGTTTAGTATTCTATCGATAATGTCACAACCTCGCACCTATACATTTTTTCTTCATTGATCAGTTCTGAGGTAAGCTTTCTTTTCTTTTCCTTTTATTCGTAGCTTTTTTCATTGAGCTACTCTTTCTTTTCATTCCAGATTCCAAAAAGAAAAACCAATAGAATAACATTTTATTTTGTCCCAAGTGTCCCACCTTTTGAGAGATATAAAGCGAACAAATTTCTTCAGAAAAAGACATTTTTATTAAAACTATCACGAAATATACGTTTTAGGAAGAGTTCGGAATTAAGCTTTTGAAGAATAGAGATGTTTTTTATTTGATTGGATTTAAAAAGAAAATGTTTGCGGTTGCTTACGATAAACCACAATCTTAAAATTGATTTCAGTTATTTTATTCTATTTCTGGAAAAGCCAGTTAACTATTCTTGCCAACGAATTTGAAAAGAATTTAAACGTTAAGTTTTATTGAACACAAAACTGTATGATAATGACAACTCTAGTGAAAAATAAATTTTTTTAATAAAACTAAAATGCTCGATATTTAGACCATTCATTTGGCAGTTTTTCCGTTAATATGATAACGGTTTTCGGAAATTCTGGTTTTCGCAATTACAGTTCTTATTACCACACATTTTGTAAAAAGAACAAACGAGAAAAGTAAATTTACTTTTAATGTGTAATTTAACCCAATAAATGGTTTTTATGCCATGCTCTAAGGTATTATGATGAATTTACCAAATTTTACTACATTTATCATATTTAATCACATACTATAGAACCATACTTTATTATTAATTTTTTCAAAGTGATTACAGAAGGGCTTCGGTAAAAACTACCGAGCTTTTTGGTGTTCCCATGGAGTCAGATGCGCTGTAAATTTTACCATATTCTGGTAGTCTTGTTCATACTTTTTTTCTTAAAATACAACAGGAAAACAGAATAGTCTAACACAGTCTTCCATTGATTTCGGTACAATTTTATTAGCCTGGAAATTATATGGTTTCATTATATGGTATGGTTCAAGGGTCTTAGCCCTCTGTCGATTATATATAAACTTAAGTATTTTTTATTGTTAACTACTTACAAGATAAAACACAATTAAAAAATGATCAAACAGAATGTAAAAATTTTTATCAATTATTATCAGCAATATTCACAGAAATAAAATAAAAATAAATTAATTAATTAAAAATAAATAGATTAATTAAAAATAAATAAAAATGAAATAAAATAAAACAAAATTAAATTAAAATAAAATTGAAATAAAATTAAATAAAATAAAATTAAAACTTTGCTTTCCGATTACTATAGCAGTTGTTTACTATGGTTAGCACATCCGTAAATTTCTCTCAAGCGTAAAAGGTTAAAATGCTTTATCATTTTACACTTTTTTTATTATCATGCTGATTTTATTTTTTCTACTTTGTAACAGCCGACCTAATTCTGAGTTAATGACTATTATTGTTCAACTCCGTAGAATAGTAACAGACAAGAGAGCTCCTGGATCAAGCATCGGGACAAAATAGCCATCGTGAAGGACTTTTTGGCGGAACTAACTGGCATTTGTGTTACGTTCAGAGGAAAATCACAAAATCTCCCATGGTTAGCCCAACAGCAAGGGGATTCTAAACCGTGATGCCTATACCACTGAGGATATTTTTGGTCAGCACTGGGATTTGTGCGTGCCGGAAGCAAAATTTATATCAGCCAGCCACCGTTGACGAATTTCGAACTTTCGTCACCTCACTGGGAGGCGAACTCTTCACCCCCTGATTCATCGGGGCTCTGTCATGCTAATATAATAAATTTAATCTTTAAGTGCTAACTAATGGAAAAATAACCATACGCAAGCAAATAACAAATAAGCCATACAAAATTCTTCCGCCTAAAAAAAGCATTTGAGATTTTTTTTTTTTTTTTGCTGAAAAAAACCGCCTTTTTCATAAAATCATGCATGAAAAAATCCTTTTTTTCATGCATCAATTTTTCACATTATCCAAAAAATTCCGAAAAACTGATAATAATTGTCAATTATTGAAGTGCAAAAAGTGCTAAAATATTTTCAAACTCAAAGCGTTTTTTTCCTAGAAGAAGGGAATATAGTAATATTTCCTTTTTCCAAGAAAGAGGAAATATAGTAATATATTTTCATTTGACAATACATTACGTATTGTCAAATGAAATTCATTTGAAATGAAGTTAAATTCATTCAAATCAAATTCATTTTTTTATCAGTTTGTTACAATGTCGCTTTATTTATTTTGATATAAAAAAGTAACTTTAAACTTTATTAAGGGCACATTCAACTTCATCTTCGAAGCTTATTTGATCAAAACTAAATTATTCAATATAACGAGAAAAAAAAAGTCTAAAGATTGAACATTCGATATGACCATTGGATAAAAGTGGAGGTCAGATAGGAAGCGGACTGTGATTCATATATCCAATGGAGTCCTCTAACTTAGACGATGTCGCCATCCCATTATTTCTAAAGTGAAAGGTGAAATTATTGGCCAATAGAGGGACCATCACCAAACTTCACATG